AAAAACAATCTTCACTTTGTTTTCTTTAATAACATCATACATTTATTTGTTTATTATTAAAGTATGAATTTTATCTAATGGTCGATTCCATCCGTCGTCATACGACTTACAGTAAAAGCGAAAATACTCGCGTGTAGAACGCTTTGTGATTCTTTAAACTGATTGCAGTGTGGATATTATTTATATTTGACAATGGTCCTGAAATCTGTGTATAGCTTCCAGCTTTAATCTTTAAAAAATATATTCCCGTGTTTATACTTTTGCTCTCCAGGGACTTGCCTCGTCGTGGTTTGGTACTCGGGGCCGGACCTGTTCTGGTGGATAATGTATGGTTCGACGGTTTTAACAGCACGGCATCCTACTCTACTGGCGCAGTGTCCTTCTCAGAAAAACTGTCAAGGCTCAGGTCTCCAAGGAACACATTCAGGAACATCGGCTTCGGTTTCGATGACGTAAGCGATTTGGTTATCAGGCGTGTTGTAGCATACCTTATATAAGACATTTATTCTATTGAACTATTATTTTGAACATGCTTTAAAAGCAGGGCAATGATATAATTCATCCGTTTGTTGTTACTCATTAGCATGCATTGAATTCATCCAAATGTGGGGTATGTTTGCACGATGGTGATTTGAATCTGTACATACCTTATAAGGTCACTCACTGGCCTTTTCTGAAATCTTATTTGTTGACACTCTCTGAAAACATCGCTTTATTTACACATGGATTTTCACAAAGGTCCGTATACATTTCATGATGCCATCGGCAATACAAAATGTTACAACTGATGCACTGCTTAAAAATCTATTTTTTCTGTAATATTCTGTATACGCCTTTGTTTGTACAGCTACCTGATCCGAGCTAATTTCAGAATCATATTCACGTTATGATTTTCAGGATATATAGCTGAAAAAAAGTTAAGACATGTTCAATCAGAGCACTTTCAACGTTATTTTGATATGAATTTATATCTGTATCATTTACTAGTTATCTTACTTATCTATATAAGCATTCATATCCTTTGGTATATAGAAATAGTCTTGTTGTTGATGGTGTGATGTAGAAATTGAAATTGAAATTTAGAGCCGGAAACCTACTTAACTAGTTTTCAATTTTGGTAGCCTATATAAAAATGTTAGACCATTAATTGTTTAGTTGTCTAAAGAAGCAATATATATAGCGCGATAAAATGTGTATTGAAGGCAATGAAAGTTGCACGTATATGACAAATACCCTAAGTATTCTAAAGTTGTGGATAAATCCTAAACAAGTTTCACTTATTATTGTGTATAAAGTAAACATATGTAGAGTTCGGTAAAGCATAATACAAAGCATAGTTAGGACCTGAATACAAAGTAGATTATTCTAAATGCATTGCTGTATTCGCCCTTCACAGTGAAAATCTTTCATTTGTATATTCGCCAATGGTTAGTTTCGCCTTCAAAAACGACTACGACTACGTGCATATTTCTTGCTGTGTACTTATATTCACTTTCATGAGGAATTCGCCCTTAAAAAGGAAGGTGAAAATTAAACTGTGGCAAAAATTTCCCGGTGACACCATCATTGTATAGCAATACAGCTATATGTTTGTGTTTTCTATCTTTGATTAATTACCAAACGTTCACTTTATATTAATAAGATACACGATTAAGAAATTTAACCTGGAAGGAAAATGAAAGTATAGGGCCTACATTTAATATTGTTGTAAATTAGGTATGTAAGGTGACGTTTTATAAATCAATAATATTTTGCCATGCAATTACCGGGGAAAGAATGCATTAAAAAGTTCTTAAGCTTGCCCTTAAATCCTCTGAAATTGTGATACAATATGTAAACACATATTCCTTGAAAAACAATATTGTTTGAATACGATTTTTCACTAAAAACGTGAAATTAAACTCCCTTATGTGATTTGCTATTTTTTCACGCTATCTCAATCACACAAGTGTTTTCTTTTTTGAAATGTGCTTCGGTTTGTTAAAGGACTCTGAGGGCAACAGAGTCATTCAAACGACGACAGGCATATCGGAAAGTGTAGATGCTGTTAAGGTTGACATATTTTACGACGAAGATGGCGATGTCACGTCAATACCAGGAGCAGGTGTTGTACGCCCGCTTAAATTTCACATGACACCTAACTGTGCAGCAGTGGATTCTTGGAAAATGGCAGTTTGTGATGAATCGTTTGCCCAGGTGAGAGCTTAGTAATAAATATTTAATGTATTCTTGAATAATGTGAACGGTATATAAATTAAGATATTGGATGCATTTGTCAAATAAAAAAACCCAACAACAAACAAACAAAACAACAACGCAAAAACAAAAACATACATGTAACAGCATTAGTGCGTCGAAATGGAAAGCATGCCCTGGCAAATTCAACCTTGAGAACTCAACTGTATAAGTTTTATACGTTCAGTTTAGTTTTATATATAACAGATTACAGTAGCAGTCCTTTGTAAATCCCTGTCTCCGTGTACATAATACAAAAATAACCATCTTTATATATTCTTTGTCTTGCCTGTTGTTCGTGATCATTGCAGACCCTAGCAGTATATAACCTCTGTTTAGCCAGTTATTTATTCCAATGGGGATTGTTATTCGTTTGTTTTGAGAGTGGTATGCCGATTTCAACGGTTTTAACCAGAGTGTGTGTCTCAATGCTACATGTTGAAATAGATAGATATTGCATTTAATGGAGTGATATTGACTACACATGCACACCTTTAAATAAAATACAGCTTACATGTTCTTTGGTTTCCAGGTTGTCATTAGAGGCAGAAAGGATGAGGCTATGACAATGATGAGATCTGATGACGTCACAAACAACAGAATTACGTCAGACTCATCAGGTTCAACGGGAGCATTCAATGTGATTTTAGGAGAATCCTACACGTACTTAGTCAAGTTCAATTCCGAACTTCCAACGACCTTTTCTTTAACGGGGCTTGGAATGCAGAAGTACGTATGAAGCGTCACAAAAATAATAATAAAAACTGCTGAAAAGGCACTTCCGTTTGCATGTCAAAATTATGAGTTTTTCCATTTGAAAGTTACATTTTCAGGACAGGATTCGACAAAAAACGAATGCATGCCGTTTACATTTTGTCTTTTGTTCCTCTTGAGAATTGCTCTTGACTGATCAAAATGTGTTACATTGTATATGCTAATTGTTTTGAATATTCATGGTTGTTAACAAAACACCAAATACTCAAAATAATGACAAGAATGTATGTTTCCTCCATATTTCAGATGGTATTTACAAATTTTATTGATTTACATTCTTATAAAGTGAAGATAAATATTCTTTTGTAATCCACAGAGGAAAAAATGTCGTTGTGGGCATATGTGTTCCAAAGGACGTGACATTCAGGCTGAGCACTAACACCCCAGCACGGAAGGCTGCATCTTCTGTAACAAGCCTGGCTGCGTTAAAGTCGGACACTACGGGCACAAAATATTTTCTCGATGACGACGCAGGGTTTGTACTTTTATACAAATGTCACCTATTGTCATCTCCCCTAGAAATATATATACATACGTCTGCTTAATATTTACCAATATACATAAATATAAGAGCCTTCCCCTGATGTATTTCTAAAGGGGGAAGTACTAAGAAACTGTTTTGACGTTTCTTTTCTTCATAAATACATATAAAATAAAGTGAGAACTTTATTGAAAAGGTATAACAACATGTTTTAGATTCATTTATTTTCGTCAGCTCTCCATTTCTTTGATTTATAGAAATTAACCTATTCAGTGGACACTTGAATTCGTGGACATACTAATGCTGACAAATAAAAATACAAATAAAATATATATAATTGGTGTTGTGATGTTATAAATAGACCATTCCGGTCCGCATCCCGATGCCGGATGCTGTTTTAGCCACTGTGTAATATTGGATTATGGGTTAAGGTGGGTTGTTTTATCTGTGAAGATTATCATCATAATGCACATCAATTGGAACTCTTTAGTTGTCGGTTATTTCTATTCATGAATTCCACGAAATTTGGCGCCCCACGAATAATAGTGAGTTTCCAGTATCAACATAAGGTGAAGTTAATTTTAGTAAGTTTTGTTATCTTTGTCAGTCAATTTATAAGTCATTTATTCCCCAAATGAAAAGTATACAATGAAACACAACTTCAACAACCCATATGTAGTATAAATTGGTCTGGGGTGGGTGTTGCGGTATCTGTGCTGTAG